CACCCCTCCGCAAGGCTCCCCCTCCCCTCCCATGTATCCCTCAGAGCCCAGCTTAGTCGCACTCTGCCATACACTGACCGCTCACACCGGGGGACACACCCTCCTCCGGCTTCCTGGAGCCCACACTGCCCTAGCACCCCCTTATGTGGTGCGCCCTTCCTGTGTTATAGGTTTAGTAGGGGTCCGATGCACGAAATTCCCTCGGCTGCCGGCACCAGCTTCCCTCCACCAGGACCGGGGCTTCCCTCACAGAGGGCGGCCTCACCCACCCGCCTCAGCCTGCTGGTCAGTGGCCTGGGCCTCCCTCTGCAGGGCGATCATGAGGCGATGGCCAGGCGCCTGACCAATCGCATCGTACCTGCCTTGGCTGGCCTGGCATCAGTGGGTGTCATAGTGTGGTCCTTGTTCCACTGTTTGCCGTTCAGTCGATTTGCATATTATGCTTTTATTACATAGGATGTGGCGTCTCCCGCTGCAGCTGGGGTGGTGGTTCACAGGGCACAGATGCTTGGATGTTTCTTTGCCAGCTGGTGGAAGTTTTTCTCTGGTTGGGGAGTGATGAGGTGGAGCCATTACCCCATGAAGGTGATGTCTAATAGTGGGCAGTGAGGGGAGTTGGGCAGGTGAGCTGCTGGCCATCCTCGGGGACTGCCTCCTGGAGGGGCTGGCCGGCATGCAGGGCCCGCTGGCTCACTGCCTTGGGGTTCTTTGTGTTTCAGGTGGCAGAGCCTGAGGCCTGCGATGAGATGTACGAGAGCTTAGCACGACTCCATTCAAACTATTACAAACACAAGGTGAGTGGGCACAGTCTGCCATGTCCCCCGCCCTCTGACCTAGAAGAACAAGTGAAAACCTGATTACAGTGTTTTGTAAAGAATGTCGGCTTTGCTGCTTTCAAGTGTAACCAGTAATCTCAAGCAAGCCAACAAAGGCACCTCATGGAGGCTTTCAGGTCACTTAAGTAAACGCTATTTATAATCTCGAATAAAAGCTGTGTAATGTATAAGCCAGTGTGGGCTTCTGGGCATGTCTGGTGGCTTAGATCTGAGGTTCTCCGTGTGCTCCGGTGAAAGTGCGCCCCGCCCCCTTGCTGACAGGTGGGTGGTTGGGCGCCTGTCACACTCCACCCCCGGCCTTCCGTGATTTCTGTCAGATCCCACTGAGCGTGGTTTTCAGGCTTGAAACTGCTCAGTAATTCCCCACATACGCGGGGCGGGGCTACGTAGGTTTAGGGTGTGAGCACAAGAAACACAGAGATTACTCTTGTGTTATTACTTATCAATTACTGTGTTATCTTCCATGTGAGCCGCTAAACCTACCTGGCCCCATGGCCAGTGCCTCGCCTGTGTGGAAGAGGGTTACTTCTGAGTCCTCGCAGCTCAGTGTGTGGCTCAAGAGCAGCAGCGGGGGCATCCCCTGGAGCTGGTTAGAGACTCGTGGGCCCAGCCCGGTCCTGAGTGACAGCCTGCACTTGCCCAGAGGATCCTGTGCGTGGTTAAGCGGGAGCCGCCCGCCTGCCGCCCGCAGATGATGCCCACACTTGCAAGGCCGCATCTGGGACTCCAGGTGGCGCTGCTCTTCCGCCTGCCGGGCCTCTGGTCTCACTCCAGTGGCCCCTTGCGTGCAGTCAGACAGAGCCAGGCTTCTCCAGGATGGCAGGCCCCAGGTTGTGCTGCTGAACTAACCCTCTCCCCCTTCTCCCCTCTGCCCTGCGACCAGTACCCTCGCCCGCGGGACACGAGCTTCAGTGGCCTGACCCTGGAAGAGTACAAGCTGATCCTCGCCACAGGTACGGCGCCGCGGCCCCGGGCTTGTTTGCAGGTGGTTCTAGTAAGCCCCTCTGCCTGTGGGACACCGAGGAGCTTCTGAAGCGACAGCCCTTAGACGTTGGCCATAGACTATGGAGAAGGTCAGCAGCGTTGTTTTAAAGAGAAAATCCATCCTTCGAGCTTTTAAAGTCAGGGCCGAGCAGCAGGGACGGGAATGCTAGTCGCCAAAAGGAAGTAGTTGAAATCAGGATGGAAGGAAAATAATTTTACTTGTATGGTCCTAAGAGGGCTGTATAAACAATGAGGGCTCTGATTGAAACAAAAAGCCACTCAATGCACATGGATGGAGCTATCCACTACGCCTTATCTGGCCCCGGGGACATGGTCTGTGGGTTAACTGGGCATGTTTTGGAGTCGTTGATAGACTGTGATTAGCAAGAAAGGAAATACCCAGGCCAGCCCAGCCCTCCGCACTTCCGCACCTCCATTGTCACTGACGGGGAACCCTGGGTTGAAGTAGGCAGGTTCTGGAAAATTACTATTTTTATTTGCAAGGATATCATATGCAAAAATAGGCTACCCTTTTCTGAGGGCCTGGCCCTGAAACATTCACCTGCGGCGGCACTGCAGACATTTCTCTTTCCTGCTCCTCTGGCATTCCAGAAAACACCTTCCAAGCAGACTCACACCTGGTGGTGTCACCTGCTGTTGTATCAACGCTGTCCTGTTTTCATTACAGTGCCCTGGGAAACTGGGTAGGTTTTTTTCCAGGCAGGACCTTGAAATTCCCGCATTGATGCCCCAGGTCACTGTGAGGACTTGGAGAGTTTCAGCCAAGTTTGAACTTGAAACTAGAGAGGAAATAAGCTCTCAGCCTCTGCCCTTCGTTGACCTCAGGCCGCAGTGCAGAGGTGCGGGCTCCCCTCCATCGGCCTCCCGGAAGCCTGCCGCCCGCTCCCCTTCACAGCAGGCCGCAGAGCCTTGTTTGACTGTCGGTCAGCGTTCCAGATGTCTCCTCTGAGGGGCCAAGAGAACACCTTGCAGTGTCTGTCGTGAGAGGGTTTGAGGCCGGGCCATTGGCCTTGGCCTGCATCCCAAGTGTGTCCACGTTGGCTTGGGATCATGGGAGACTGATCCCATGGCTTGTAGTGGGCAGGGTTCAGCCCTCAGCATCCAGCTTTGTGCCCCACAAAGGGACCTGGGCTTCTGGGCTGAGGGGCCGTGTGCCCTAATTGTCAAGAGACCACTAGCAGTCAGTGTTAATAAGTAACGTGTTACCTTTAGTTCCAAAAAGCCATTCCTTTTCTAACAAGTTTTATTAACAGTTAAAAATCCAGGCTGTGTAATTTGGACAATATTATGGGGAAATCTAATTTAATATACAGGTAAGAGTAGGTGTAAAATCTTAGCCCTGGAGAAACTTTAAACCAGTGGTTCTTGATGGGGCAGTTTTGGTCCCTGGGGGACATGTGGCAGTGTCTGGAGATATTTTAGTTGTCACAGCTGCGCGTGGGGTGGACTTTGGAGGTTGCTATTGGCATCTAGTGGGTAGAAGCTAAGATGCTACAATGCACATCCTACAATGCACAGGTCAGCGCCCCAACAAAGAATTATTCTGCCTCAACCCAAATGTGGATAGTGCCAAGACAGAAACCCAGCGTTAGTTCCTTGGGGTGTGTGTGTGTGTGTGTGTGCGCGCGTGTGTGTGCGCGCGCGCTCATGCTTAAGGCGCCCATGGCCTCCCACAGCCCCCTGCTGCCGTCATAGCCATGCAGATGGCCCCTCCTTGGGTGCAGGTCAGGTGCCAGGCAAGCTGCCTCCATGATTGCCTTTCATCCTCACACCTTTTGAGGCAGGTATTTTCTCCCTACTTTGCAGATGAGGAGCCTGAGGCTAAAGGGTAGAGGAATTTGTTGGAGGGGACCCAGTGGGGGAATGATGGGCAGGGATTCTGCACAGGTCCGTCTCCCCCCCGGATGCCTGCTCAGCTCCACAGCATGGGGCCCCACCGCGCCCGGGCTCAGATCCCCGCTCTACCTCTAACTGGCTGTGCGACCTGAGCAACTTGCTTAACCTCCCTCTGCCTGTTTCTACCCCTAAAATATGGAGACATCGGGTGTGTGGCATAGGCCAAGCTTCGCCTGTGCCACACACAGCTCACTGTCTCCATCTGCCCACGCACGCGTAGCCCAGGCATCGAGGGCGTGGCTTGGTGCTGAGTGGGAGGGGGCGGTGTGCTGAGCCGCCCCGGTACACGAGTGCTCAGTCCACGCTGGCGTTATTTTCCTGTGACCTATCTGACCTGCTTTTGAGAAGCTGGGTCTACACGCCCCTTTTTCGGGGACAGACTGTGTGAAAAGAAGGCCTGTGGGGCCAGTACCCGGCCTCAGATGTTAGACATCAGCCTCCTTTCTGTCTGGCCCTTTGCAGACACCCTGGGGGAGCTGAAGGACATGAATAAAGGCTTGTGGAAGAAACTGCAGGAGAAGTTCTCCGCCCGGAGTCCCGAGGAGAAGCAGAAGGCCTGGGCTCAGTCCTTATCTCGCCCGCGGACCTGAGTGGAGTCTGTGTATTGCCGTCATAAATAAAGCTCCCTGACCCCCGCGCCGCTGCTTCGGACCTCAGCCAGCCCCACAGAGGAGGCCGCGCCGTTCCAGGGAAAGTTCCAGGGAAAGCTGCGCCCGAGCAGGCGTGCCCAGCAGCCGCCCGCGGTCAGGGTGGGACGTGTCCAGGGGAGAGGAAGCAGGGGCTCCGGCCAGGCCTGGGAAGGGAAGGGGCGGGGCCTCCAGGCCAGGGCTTCCTGTGCAGCCATAGGAGCCCCTGTGGGGGGAAGGGGGGTCTGGCTGGGAGCTCCTGGGAAATAGCCAAAACTAGCCAACCTGGAAGAAGGCAGGTGGTCGGCCCCGTGCCCAGGCCTCAGAAAGACGGAGCGGGTCCTCTGCCCCGGCCTTGCAGGAAACCTGTGTTCCAGTTGGTTTAAGGGGCAGAGTGGAGCTACAGACAGCCGGGGCCGGGGCCTGGGGCTGTGGTGGCTTCTGTGGGAGGCCAGGACACACGGGCCACCTTTCTGCTCCACGGAACCTTAGCTCTTACTGGGGCCTTCACATTTCGGACCTGAGCTGAGCAGGGCGGGCAGGGACCCACAGCGCTCATGGGGAAGAAGCCAAGTGGGCTCCAGTGCATCCTGGGACGCACACGACAGGCATAGGGCATGACCAAACCGGCGACACCAGTACCGCTCCAGCTCGTCCAGGGACCCTGTGTGCAGTCCCCGACAGTGGCTCAGCCTCTCCCAGGGCCAAGGTGAGGCCAGGCCAGCGGGCCACGTCAGCCCCACAGCCCCAGGGGCTAGAGGAAACGGCAGTCCTTTCTAATGAACTATATTTCTATTAATTTATTTAAGGTAATTAACATATTAGTTCTCAGGCCAAAGGATTTGTAAAACATTACACCAAAAGGAGAAAAAACAAGCGGTCAAAAACCAGCCAGTCACGCACCCAGCCCTGCCCCTTCAGCCTGTGACCCCAGAGGCCCAGGAAGAGGCAGGGCCCAGGAGCAGGGCCTCCACCCTCGGCCGGCAGTCCCCTGGGGCTGGGGCTGAGGCTAGGCCACGCCAAGGGCGGCCGGGACACAGTCTGCACTGTCTACGGTCTGCACTGTCTACGGCAGACCTGAGGCACAGGAGGCGTGCGGGGCTGGGCACCCGGGAATAACTTAGTAACAAAGCCCTAGTGTCCCGGCAACAGCATCACGGCTCCTCCCCCGGAGGCGGGCAGCAACCAAAACGTAGTGCTTGGAATAAAGAGGTGACCCCACTCCTAACCGCCCCCAGGAGGAGTAGAGGAATGTCAGTTACTGCTTTAAGGGACAAAGCAATCCTCTAAGAGACGTCTTTAAGGCAATAAGGTAAACTGAGTCCCAGTGAGTGTCTGAGTTCTAAGGGCTCCCCTTCCGTGCTGGCCAGCACCCGGGTTGGCTCAGGGGAGTCTGGCATAGCAGGAGCTGGAGGCTGGGTGGGCACCTGGCCTCGAGCTGGTGAGCTGGCTGGGCCACCCGACCGAGAGAAGGGCAGTGTTCCCAGCCACAGCTCAGTACCAGCGCCCGGCGCAGGCTTCGGCGGGTCTCGCGGGCTCAGCGGCTCATGCAGTTCTGGACGTCCACAAAGCCCAGGCGCTGCCTGCGTTTCCGCTGCTCGGTCATCTGGTTAAACGATGCCACAGGTCAGGCCCCCGGCACCCTCTGCACAGACACTGCCGAGGGACAGGGCCCACCCTCCCGCCATGGGCCCTGCTGCCGCTCAGCACTGGCGGCGGCCCAGGCCCTCGGGCAGCGAGATGGAGCCCCAGACCCTTGGTCTCAGCTCACTTGTCACAGCCCCGGCTTTGTGCAGCTGGGAAGCCGCCCCACCCAAAAGGGGCTGCCTCGCCTCTGCTGCTGCCCGATGGGGGGCGGTGCTGTGTCTCAGGGGCTGGGGATGGGCTGCCACCCCCAGTCTAGCTTTCCACAGAGGGGAGAGTGTTTGGGACCCGTCTTCTACACCAGACCCAAGGACGGGGGCCAGGAAGAAGGGGGGGGGGCATGGGGGACATGCAGACCCCAGCACCTACTCTCTCCCCCACAGGGCAGGCTGGGCTGTGAGCTCAGGGGGGCCTGAGGCTGCCCAGTGCAGGCTGAGGGCGGGGTGGGGCGGGGTTGGGGGGGCAGAAGGGAGGGCTGGGCGCACACCTGCTCCTTGAGCTCATTGAGCTGGGCGGTGAGGTGGGACACCAGCTTCATGGTGGAGCTCAGCTTGTCCTGAAGAATCCGGATCTCGTTCTGCTCCCCCTCCCCTTCGTTGCTCACGAGGGACATGGCCCTCATCCGGGGGAACCAGTCCAGGTTCTTGTTCTGAAAAAGATGGCCAGCGGGTGAGCAAGCAGTGCCGCCGGCCCCGGCGACACACTCCCAGGACGTGTCGGGGAGGCCGATGCCCGGTCCTCCCCGGCCGGAGTGAGCTGGCAGGAGCCCTCTGCAGTCAGGGCCCAGCACTGGACAGGCTGGCTTCCATTAGCCGCTCTGCCTTTCCCGCTGTCAGCACCATCTGTTCACTCAGCCCCTCCGAGGTGGAGGGGAGGCCTCCGCACCAAACCCCGAATCTCCGTCCGTCCTTCCCTTCCCCTCCCCCGGCACGCACGCCCCAGGAAGATGCGAGTGGGACGGATGGAGCAGGAGGCCTGCATCTGCCATGTCTGGACCCCAGCCATGTTTCCCACGACAGGAGGGAGGGACCAAGCCGTTTTCTGGTTCCGTGGGGCAAGCTGTGAGCCTCAGGCCAGCTGATAGACCTGCACTCCAGCCAGCTCACTGCAGATTCACAAGCAAACAGGACTCTTCCCCACTGAATGGGCCTTCGCTTCCAGCCTGCGAGGTCTCTGCTGTGCGGCCACAGAAGATGCACCCTCGTTGGAACTGATGTTCTCCTTGACCCCAAACGCGATAGTACATTTCCTCCCAACGTCCAGAGCAGCAGCCACGGCCCCGGGACATCACACCGCTGGGGCTGATGGGTTTGCTGCGCGCACGCGCTCGCGCTCTCTCTCTCTCTCTCTCTCTCTCTCTCTCTCTCTCTCTCTCTTCCCCCCACCCCCACTCCCTCTTCCTCTCTCTCCAAAAAATAAATAAAAACACAGCTTCCTCGCTCCCTGCTGGCCTTTCACCAAGTGCCCACGGCTGTCCCGCCCCGCCCCCAGGCCTCCACAGTCAGTGCAGGCGGCCACGGCCACCTCCCAGGACCACACCTTGATCATCTGGGCCACGTAGCTCTCGGGCCCCGTGTAGTCGGTCTTGTTTTTCACGCGGACCAGCACGATGAAGTACAGGTAGTTCCACATGTTGTGCTCGAACTTGATGTGCTCCTCAAACGACACCGTCTTGTTATCAAACTTGTCCCTCTCCAGACCTGAGGGTGCAGAGGGCGAGGGTGAAACCACCCGCCTCCAGGAGCCTGTGAGCCACCCGGGCCGCACACACCACCTCCGTTCTCAGGCCCGGTCTGGTGAGTGCGGGCACTGCCCACTCGGGACACTCAGATCCCCTGCACTCAGCAGCAGCCACGTGGCGTGGCCATCGGCCCTGCCCAGCGGCAGCCCTCACCAGGCACCTGAGGACGCCGGAGAAGCAGGGCTGCCTACAGGCGACACCTGCTCCTCAGCCTGCGACGGCTGCAGGAGGGACCAGCACTTCAGACCAGGGATGGGAAAGCCCTGGACTGAGACCAGAGGCTCGAGGCTGCTGCCTGGGCTGGGGGGGCCTCTGTAAGTTGAGCGAGTTCAAAAGAATGCTTTGAGGCCTTTTCCCGCTCCCTGTTACTCCAAGTTCAGGCAGGGCCTGTGGTCCCCAATTCTGAGATGAGCAAACAGCCATCAGCCCCAGGGCAGGGTTCCCCGGGGGCCTCAGGAACCCAGGGAAGGGCCAAACCGAGGCAGCCCTGGGCCCAGATCATGCCCCGGCCAGGGCCGCCCGGTCCCCAAGGCCTGTGCGGGCGGGAAGCAGCCTCACCGCAGATGAAGCACGTGGTCTTGAGGATCTCCTCCTTCTTCTGCTTCTCGCTCCTCAGGTCGGCGAAGGTGTCGATGATCACCCCGAAGATGAGGTTCAGCACGATGATGATGACGATGAAGAAGAACAGGAGGTCGTAGACCACGCGGGCCGGGAAGAGAGACTCCTGCAGGGCAAGGAGGGAGGTGGGTCCGCAGCCCCCGTCCAGCGGGCAGGCAGGGTTCCGGCGGGTCAGGGCTGTGGTGGAGGGGCCCGGCCACAGCAGAGGGAAGATGGCAGAGTGGACCCACCCTCACTCCATGGGGCGAGAACTGCACCCGGAGTGCGGGCTGGGGAACAGCGGGCTCAGAAGGGAGGCCAGCCCGGCAAAGCCCTGGACTGGGAGTGGGGCTACGGGGTAGGCTTGCCCTGCCCCTAACCTCGGGGCTGAACCCCTCTGCCCCGCCCTCAGCACGCCAAGCCTCACAAGGTCTAGAAGCCTCTGTTTGGCTAAGGAAAGGGCTTATCACCCCCTCGGGAGGGGGACAGACTGCTGTTGTCCTAGCCAATCCCGAGGCCTCTATGGAGCTGAGTCAGCTCCCCGCTGGGGGCTGGGGCTCTGCCTCACAGAGGAAGCACTGTGGCCTGGGCCCGCCCAGCGCTGACTCACGCCTTCCCCAGCCTGGCAAGGCCGGCTACCCAGGTCCCTCCTAGAGCGTCAGCAGGGAGCCGGGAGGGTGTCTGAGCAGACAGGCGGGGTGGCTCAGCGACAACGTAACTCACTTTGACGGAGCGGGAAGTCAGGGAAAGGGGTGTAAATGGGGGCTAATGCTGAGATTGGGGGACCAAGCGGCTCTGCCTGGCCCCGACCCGAGGGCAGGACCCTCGCAGCTGCTGCCGGGCCAGGGCTTGGGCCCCATGGATGTGGGAGGGGCGGGTGCTCACGTCTTTGGAGGGCTTGCGGAGAATGTCGCCCACGCCGCCGCCGTTGCGCAGCCCGTGGTTCATGACCGTGACGATGCACATGAGCAGGGTGTCACAGGCCCGCTCCGCGCTGTCCAGCTCCTCGTCCTCTACAAGCGCAGTGTGTGCTCAGACCCCGGCCAGGCACCTGCCACCCTCCCCACCCGACTCCCGAGACAACCTGCCTCACCTTCCAGGACCTCGGGCACCGAGACCCCTGAGCCACAGTCTATCCTGTCCCCGCTGCACGTGCCCATGAACGTGGCCGCTCCGTGCGGCATCCCCAGGGGGCTGGCTGGAGGGATGTGAACGAGGCCACAGGAGGTTCAAACGCCCGCCTCGTCTTCCCCCTGGTCGTCCCCAGCATCACACCCTCCAGGAAGCCTGCCCGGGTCCCGCCAGGTCCCCCGTCTGCCCACAGAAGGGTCTTCACGCCCCTGCCCACCGTGGGGCGCACGCCCAGGCCTGGCCGGCAGCCCCGCACATACTGAGTCTGACATGGATGACAAGGTCTGCGCGCAGTGGCTCCTCAGGGAGCCGGAGACCCAAGGCTCTCCCACCCCTCAGTCTGCCCCAGGGAAGGGGAAGGTGTGAGCTACCCCTCCCCAGAGCCAGGACGGGAACTGAGGCAGAGGCCTGGGAGGCTAAGCAGGCCCAGGCCCTGGCCAGGCACGGTCACCGGGGCAGCCCCCGGCCCCCCGCCCCCACCGGAGGGGCCCGGACCTCGGGAGTGGTTGCTGGGCAGCCGGTCCACCTCGAGGATGAAGTCATCCTTGAGGAAGAGGAAGCCCACGATGGAGAAGAGGTAGACGAGGATGAGGGCCAGCAGGGCGGTCAGCAGGATGGAGCGGCCGTTGCGGGTCACGCTCTTGATGACGTTGAACAGCGTCTCCTCCCGGTAAATGAGGTCGAAGAGCTGCAGGGCAGGGATGGGCCTTGAGGGGGGTGTGCTGGGCCCGGGCTGCCAGTGCTCCCCACATCCTCCCCCGCAGGGTCTACGCTTAGGCAGGTGAGCCCGCGGGGGCCTGGAGGCTTCTCGGAGCCTCTGGAGTTCTAAGTCCAAGGAAAGGGAGGGCCGAGGGGCAGGCTGTCCACACAGAGGGTGGGGTGCCCGGCTCTCACGGTGGGCTTGCTCTGTGACTCATGTGCATCAGCTCACTTCAGCCTCACAATTATTCTGGAAGGCAGGCGCTGTTAATTATCCGTTTTACAGACAGGGAAACTGAGGCACGGGGCAGTCGCCCACCTAGGATGGTCTGGTGCCAGAGTCCAGGCTTGAACCAGCACCATACAGGTCCAATGGGTCAGACGGGGCCAGGAGTGGCCATCGGGGCCGGGAAGGCCAGGCTGGGGCCAAGCCGAGGAGGACCGGGCAGAGCACAGGGCACAACCGCGGGGCCTCACCAGGATGCTGTAGAAGAGCTCGTGGGCAAAGAGGCCCAGGACGCTAGTCAGGATGTAGCCCACGTGGTAGAGGAACTCCATGTCCATGACCATGGCCTTATAGCCCCGGATGAAGGTGCCGCGGTTGCCCACGAAGCTCACCACGAACACGATCTTGTTGGTCAGCTGGGGGCGAGTGCGGGGCATGGGGTCAGGTCCCACTGCCCACCCTGAATCTCTACCCCTCCCTCCCTGCCCACCCCAGCCTCTACCCCAGCCTCTACCCCAGCCTCCACCCCAGCCTCCCTGCCCGCGCGCACCCAGCTCAGAAGCCACGCCGTCCGTGGAGTGGGTCTGAGCTGCTCCTGCTCAGCCTGGCAGGCACATTAATGAAAATGCTCCCAGGATGCATCTGGGCTCCTGGGACTAGGAGAGAGGAGCCCCGGGTGCCCCCGTTCCAGAAAGAAAGGGAGGGGTAAGAAAAGGAGGGGGTCAGAGAAGACCACCAGTAGCCTTTACAGTGACTGAGTTAGAAAAGACAGCCCCTGCTCAAGGCACCTCATCTCCATCCGTCAGGAAACGGCCAGAATATGCAAAGCTTTGCTGTCTCCAGCAGAACAGTGCGTCTGGGCCGTGCACAGCAGCCCTGAATCTGGGGCTCCAAAGCTGGGGCTCCTGGCCGGCTGTCTCGTGCCAGCGCCCCAGTTGTCCAGGGAGACGGAGGAGGCACAGAGGGGTCCCCGCTGCAGGTGCATAATGAGCTTGGAATTCCAACCCAGGTACGAGGGGCGGGGCGGAGCAGTGGCCGCTGGGAGGTAGCAGGGCGGTCGGGGTGGGGCTCCCTCTGGCACTCACGTTGAGGGCACCCAGGATGTTGAGCGTGGGCCCGATGCCCAGGTAGTAGATGGAGCGCAGGATGAGCGCCACGATGAGCGGGCGGACGCTGTAGCGCTTGGTGAACAGGGCGGCGATGGAGAAGCAGATGAGGATCCAGAAGAGCAGCGAGATGAGCGGCGAGTCCAGCACCCCTGGGCCGGGAGCAGGACGAAGCGAGGCGTGCTCAGGCCCACACCCCAGCGACCCCAGGGAACACCCCTTCCTGGAAGCCTTCCCTGTGAAGCTCCTGGGCACCGGGTTTCAGGGCCCCCATCACACCCGCATCGCTAGGCCTGAGGCAGGAGACCCCCTCCAGCTGCCGCCGCCACAGCTGGTCTCTGGCTCGTGTGTGTGTGTGTGTGTGTGTGTGTGTGGGGCGGGGAACTGTCTGCAGAGGTCAGAGACCCTGTCCCACTGGACCACGCCCATGTCCCCCCACGATGGGGTGTGCAGCCCGAGGGCAATGCAGGGCACTTCTGCCCACTCCGCACCTCACCCCCCAGGCTCTGCCCAAATGGGCCCGAAGCCCCTGCCTGCCGCCCCCGTCCTGACCTGTGGACGCGCCCTCTACATAGGGGTAGAAGAAGGCGATGATGATGTTGATAAACACGGCCAGGTTGAAGGAGATGCTGCCCCACAGGGTCATGCGGCGGGAGAACCAGTAGATGAGCGGCATGCCTGCGGGAGGCCGGGGTCAGGGGCCTGAGCCACACTGTGCTCACCCCACGCGGGCCCACTGCCCGCACAAGTCCAGGCCCCATTTCAGAGAAAAGCACTGGAGCCCTCCGTGGGGTGGGGTGGTGTGGGGTG